CCTGGCGGTCAGCTGACCACCACAACCGAAGTCGAGAACTTCCTTGGATTCCGGGACGGCAGCATGGGCATGGAGCTCATGGACTTGCACCACTCTGCAACGAGAAAATTTATCGTATGGTCCATCTTTAGATGAATCTTCACCCCTTTTCTTTTGGAAGAAATGAGAAAATTAGAAAACGCATGCCCTTGCAGGGGAGAGACCAGAGAACTCTTCAACCTCACTTAAGACTCTTGAAAACTTGGTGACATGGTTCTTTTAGAAAAATAAAAAATAAAAACTAATGTAAAATACATGATGGCGAACCTCTTTCCTGTACTTGCACCACTCTGAAAGACTTATTATGAAAAGGAAACAAACTGCAGAATATTTACAATCACTGGCTTATCATCTTCAATTGCTCCGTTTGTATACTTTCCAGAATAATAGTTCCCATGGCAAACTGAAATACCTTTCCTTTGTTGATCTGGATAGTTTTTTCTTCTTTTTCTAGGTTCTGCTCTTGGTCGATTCCTGATTCTTGCACTAGCGGAGGCAGAGGATTTCTGGTCCACAGTCACAGCCAGGCACCAGCCTTTCTTTCCTTGGTTTCTCTTTTTCCCTCTAGATATTCTAACACTACAAATATTCTATATAATTACATTGTTTTATTTTTAAAAAAATCAATTTATATAATTAATTATCTTAACAGAAATAATTAGTATAATTTTATTTTTTTCAAATCAATTTGTATAATTATCTTAACAAGGAGATTTTGTAAATTCCGATTCACTCTATGATCTTTCGATGTTTCTTCTTGTAGGACCATTGATATATTAGTGGACCATGAGAAGAAGTTTAAGGTGCTGGGAGTGTTGTCACAGTGTATATCCCACTTACCATAAATAAGGCAGGGACTACTACTATTTATAGTAACATTTAGATTTATTTTGTGGTGAAATTATTCATTACGAAAGAAAACTAAAGAAAAGGGATGAGAGAATTTATAATTTGCGTTTATTTGATGTACCGTAATGTATAATACTTTTACACTATCATTTAATTATAAAATATCATTTCATAATAATTATAAAAAGATAAAAGTTCAATTTTTTAAATAATAATGAGTATTTATCTTTTTTTTAAGATTTTCAATTTTTGATTACACTGGGAAAAATAATAGTTGTTAAAAATTCTTTAATAGAAAGTAAGGTGATTACCATTTAGAAATCCTTGGCTATGAATCTATGATCACATAAAATCATTATAAAATTAATCAATAGATAATATTTTTTTCTCAAAAAAAAAATTTGCCAACATTTTAATTTCCATTAATTAGAATACCATTTAGAAAATCATACGCACCAGCGCGGGGAAAGCAAGAACATTTCTACTGTTTTACGGCGACGTTTCACTTGAAAAGGGAGAGTAGGGGCAGGAAAAGCTTTTCCGGGGAATGAGACAGGAAAAACTTTTAGCAATATTTTTTTTGTGTCCCTTGGGACTCTTCTTCTCTCACACTTTAATCATTGGTTTTTGGGGTTGTAGTTGAGAATGTAACATGCTTTTCAGTATATGAAAATGATAAGCAAACCTCAATCACAATTTGAATTGAAGCAAAAAGGCTAGAGGCTTGTAAGAAGGTGAGGCAGTGGCATTTATTTTTTACTTGCACAACACATTGCTACAACAAATGAAAGGGGGCACCACCATAAGAAGAGTACAAATGCATTAAAACTAGTAAGCTCAACGGCAAACAAAACAGTGGCAAAGTTGTGGCATTAACACGACCAGTAAATTTAATAAAAGTTTATGCAAGGATTTTCTCCAGAGGCTTGGCTTCCAGTTTGGTTTTCTCAATCTCCGGCAACTGCTGCTGCTCCTTGGCCAGCTTCTTTAGCCTGGCGAGCTCCAGATCCTTGCTCATCTTCCTCCTGTACATCTCAGCAAATGTGATGGGCTCCTCGAGAATTGGTTTCTCTCCCTCCCTGATCCTGAGTGGGTACACGGTTGCATCCGGTGCTGGGTTTTGGAATGTGGCTATTGACAATCTGCTGCAGTCTGAGTTCACCACAGCTTGGTGATCAGCGTTCTTGAACCTCCCATTGCTCAGAAACTGCTCAGCACATGTAAATTCAGTCACTCTGTGATTACCCCACACTCCAAAATGATCAATTAATTCATACATGGAAACTCCTCCTTGATAGAGATCCTACCTAGCTAACTTAAATATTATTCTTTTACAGAGACTCATTTGTTTCTTTCAATCAATAATCCTACCGAACCAAACTGCGGTGAATTGATTGGTGCTAAGACCTACTAAAAGCCTATAAGTCAATGGTACAGTGAACTTGATAGTCGGGACCAAGCTACATTGCTTGGGCAAGTCATAAGCCAGATTAATGGACATTTCAAGTTCATCCTACCAATTAGCAATTTCACTAAAGTCCCATTAGTTTCAGCTCATCACGTCATCAATAGTGCATAGTTAGGCTTGGGGATGTAGAAGTTGAAGTTGTACTTACATGGCCATGATCTCCAAGGTTGACCACAAAGGCCCCTTCAACGGGTTGAACAGTGATCCAAGTCTTGCCATTGTCCCTGGTAGCCTGAAGTCCACCAACTTGGTCCTGAAGTAACAGGGTGATGGTGCCAGGGTCGGTGTGGCGCTTGAGTCCGAGGGTGAGGTCGGGTTGTGGACATTTGGGATAGAAATTAACCACCACTTTCTGGTCCATGTCCACGCATGCCTTAGTCAAAGCCTCCTTGTCTAAGTCCATGGCCTCTGACAATACTTCAAGAAGCTTGCAGGCTAGGTCCATCAGCTTGTCGCTGTACTCCTTTGTCACTTCTACCCATCCCTCTGGCGTATCGGGCCACCTTGAATAGTCGCGGGCCTTGAGTGGGTATGAAAAGTATGTCACAATCTCTCGCCAGTCTTGTACCGCTTCTCCCTGTAACAAAGATCAATGTCATGGAAATTCAATGCCACAATCTCACAATCATCCGTGATTCAATGCAGATTTTCATCCACCAATTGCGTATTCACAGCAGGAAAAACCCAATTCATAGCCAATGGTCTCCTCTAAAGTGAGATGACGTGCGGCAGCATTCTAATATTTTGATTAAAAACGGTTGGAATCGGGTTGGTTCAACCCGGTCTGAATTTGAAAAAAAAAAAAAAAGGAAACCCAATTCATAGCCAATGAGATACTTTCCAAGATACTATGTGTCCCTGAGAAGAACAGTTAAGTCAACAGCAATCAACAAATAGGCCGATTCGACTCAAAAATGGCTACAAGCCCGGTACCTGAAGGTGGCTGGAGACGATGAAGCCACCCTTCTTGCCACCAGACATATCAAAGCGAAGCTTCTCTTCAGCAGGCAAAGCGAAAAACTCCCTGGCAAGACGGGTCATCTCGGAAATGAGTTTAGTATCGACACCATGATCAACGACCTGGAAGACACCCCAATCCTCACAAGCGTCGACGATTTTCTTGCATATCTGGGCTCTCTTGCCATCAACGTCATCGATCCCAGCGAGAGAGATCACGGGGATTTCGTTGCTGAATTGGTTGTAAGCAACCTTAGGACGCTCATCTTCATCACGAACAAAACTTGCCTGTAAGGTTTTCTCTTCTGCAAGGGCAGTGAGTGTTGAAGGAGCCATTGACGTTGAACCTGGAAACGTTCTCCTGGTTTTAATGGGTTATGCGTTAAATGAGTATTTGTCTTCCTTACTAAGGAAAGTTAGCGGAAAAGCGTAGAATGCGATATGGCTTTTGGTAAAGCAAGGGGAGGTTTATATAAATATAAGCAAGCTGTTTGGAAGGTAGAAATTAAGAGACAAAGAGGGGCGTGGCAGCTCTAGCTACCCGTCCAAGCTCGTGAGTAACCCACAGCTATCAACCAGCCTTTCTTTCTTTGGTTGGGTCTCTGTTTTTCCTTTTAGAATTATAGTACCATATTATAATATAATTTTAATAAGATATTATAATCTAATTAAACATTAATATTATATAATAATTTTAATTAAATAATTTATATAATTATTTTAACTCTCACTCCAAATTGAAAGAGAAATTACATTTTGAAATCAATTAGATACAATATAACAAAGTGACATGACAAAACATGATATAAAAAATAAATATAGTAAAATAATATCTTTTTTTATATCTTGTTTGATCATGTTTATTTTTTGAATTAAGCAATAATATTATAGTATAATACTAATAAGATATTATAGTTTAACGAAATAATATTTTTTATAATAATTTTAATTAAATAATTTACATAATTATTTTTATTAAAAAAAATTAGTTCATATAATCATCTTAACAAGAAAATTTTTGAATTCCAATTCACCCCATAATATTGGGAAGTTAATTTCTTCTTGTAGGACCATTGGTATCTTAGTGGACCATTAGAAGATGATTGAGATGTTGGGAGTGTTGTCTAAATAAGGCAAGGACTGCTACTACTTGCTTTAACATTTAGATATATTTTGTGGTAAAATTATTCATTACCAAAGAAAAATTAAAGAAATGGGGAAGAGAGAATTAATAATTTAGATTTACATTTGATGCATAGTCAAATACTTATAGATTATCATTTAAATATAAAGTGTTAGTTTATAATTGTGTAAAGATAAAAATTCAAAAATTCTTTGAAATAATATTTTTAAAATTATGAATATTTATTTTTAAAAATTTTAATTTTTAAATTTATTTATTAATAAAATAATAATATTATATTTATTTATTAGTGTAATTGATACGTCTGATGAACGTGTCAAACATAAACTCATTTAATTTTACTATAAAAGAAAAAAAAGTGTTTCTTTAAAAGTTTTGATTTACTCTTTAGTTTGATGCTAAGGAGTGCATGGCTAAAGTATGAATCTAAGATCACAATAAAAAAAACAAGAAGAAGTTTTTATCTTATTGTTTCTTTGTTAGAGAACCCCAATTTATATAATTTTCTTTTTTTAATTTTTATAAGATATAGAACCATTATAAAATAAATCAATAAATAATTTTTTCTAAAAAAAAAATCCAACATTGAATTTCTATTAATTAGCAAACCAAATATATAGTTGTTACTTAGCAAATCCATTATAGGTAGACAAAAGGTTATGGATATGGTAGGATATGCGGTGCATCTATATGCCACATGGGTGTTTATATACTTATTTTGGCTTAACTAATATTAATTTTTCCTAAAAAGGTTACTCAAAATTGAAGAAAAGAAAAAGGAAATAGAAAGTCAAATAAAGAAAATGAATTACTCCCCTAACATTTAACGATCAGTGTATATTAAATTCTGGCTAATTAGCCTATTAATTAGTGACCCTTTTCAAGTAAAAATTTATTTCATAAAGAAAGCTATATGTCTTGACATACTAGTTAGGTCTACCATATATTCTTCATTACAAATTAATAGAGAAAATCCCAATTAGTTAATTCATTCGCATTCTTTGGGTTAAAAAAAATTTTGGGTTTCCTAACAAATTTCCATCCCTCAAACCATTTCGGTGTAACTAAATGTCCTTTTTCTAATTATGATAGCAAACCATTCTTCAAAAATTAATTAATTAATTAATTAAATTTGGTAAAATACCAACAAGATCAGAGGTAAATATTCCTAAGTAGGAAATATATATATATATATGAATTAAGCAGTAAACAAATAGTAAAGAAGGATTGGTATGGTTTGGTTCCTATATTGTTAGAAGCTTCCTGGCCGGCCCTCACATGATTTCACCTAACTCCTTTTTATCTAAGCCTTGCATGTGCCTAACAACCCCTTTGCTTTGAGTATTATATATATATATGTTTTATCTACTGCATTGCAAAAAATTTTGTATGACCTAGTTGTTATATAAAGTATATTAAGTTTGACGGGTTTTAATTTTTTTATTAAAATTAAGACTTTATGTAAACATAATAGTTTTTTTAATAAAATGGTAAATTTATAGAGATGTTAGAATTTAAAAAATAAAAGTAAACAAGAATATCTTCTGCTTCGATTAAGATCAACGTTTTGACAATTATCTTCTACCAACTTCAACTAAGAACAATGCATGTCGATCACTTTCAATGCTTGCCAATAAAAGAAAAAAAAGGGGAAAATCACTTTCAACGACCTTTAGTCTAAAGCTATATAATTTTTTGGGCCTATCCTAGCCCAATTTCATGGACCCAATCTAAGCCCATTATGCCACATTATGGGCTTCTTGAGTAACCCATTACCTCTGTTTAAGTCAATTTGTCGTCTCAATTAACAACACATGTGATACATTATTGGACCTATATTTACCTTTTAGCCCATATATATATATATATATATAGAATCTCATGATCAATTTGGTTAAACTATTTCAAGTTCTTTTTGCAATGATTCATACTAAACCCTTCCTTCCAAGAAAAATTGAGTACATCATATCTGTCAAAGAACAATGCCAGGTATTCAATGTTCAATACCCTGCTGGCTTCAACACCAATGCTTTTTTCTATTTAACCCAAAAACCTGATTTCCAAAATATTAGATTAATATAAATATGGGAATTTCGGTCTGCTGCTTTGAGATTGGAAAAAGAGACACCTTTGCCATTGGAAAAACTAGTCAAATTATTGCCATTAATAATTGACTATTGTTGGTCACATCAGAGCTGGGATAGGCCCCAAAGCTGCTTCCGAATTGGCAATGCACATGGGATTCTTTCTCTCGGATGCTATGCTAGTACAGCTTCGACATAAAGTATTTTAATGCATGTTGCAGATGCTCTCCACTGTATAAATACCCTCAACCTGGATCCATATCTTACTTCACATCTTTGTCTCTCTCTTTTGCAGCCTTGCTACAAACAAAGATGGCCATCTCCAGAAACATTGCTGCTTCACTTGTTTTCTCTCTCTTGCTTCTCCACCTCACTCAAGCTGAAGAACTGGTAATGTGACTGGAAACCCTTTTCTTTATTGATTCTTGAAGGACAGAAAGATCAGAGAAAATTTGCAGCAGCTAGCCATGGTATTTGATAGCTTAATATGATCTGTTATGTTGTGCAGATGAGCTTTGATGGAGCAGTAGCATCAAGCCCTTCACCGCAGGCACAGACCATTGGTAACCATAGAACCTGCTAACTAAATCTTAAATCGGGATTATTTTATGGTTAAAAACTTGTTAGTGTTTCTTTGATTCATTCATGGCAACATTGTTCCGAATTTAGATTGTGGAGTAGCCTGTCAAGGGAGATGCAAACTATCAAAGAGGCCAAATCTCTGCAAAAGGACCTGCGGGGGCTGCTGTGCCAAGTGCAACTGTGTTCCCCCAGGAACCGCTGGCAACCATGAAGCCTGTCCTTGCTACGCCCGATTAACCACACGCAACAACATTCGCAAGTGTCCTTGACTCCATGGCTATATGTGTGCAAGACTCTTTACGCTCTTGAGGAAGCAATTCATGTTTCCTCCCAAAATAATGCAAATGAACAATTTTTCCATTTCCATCTTTCTGTAATATGTCATTTTCCTGTCTTAATGATTGATATAATAGCTTAAAGGAATTTCTTGGTAAATATAGAGAGAAACCAACATTGCAATATGAAATATCAACTGGAATTTTACATATAAAGGGAAAATTTTGGCTAATTGATCATTGCAAACTGAACGAAAAGAATAGTAGAAACTAAAGAAATTAAGCAATTATAACCAATAAAGATAAAAGGAAAGAACTTTTATTTATAAGAAGAATAGCTGTTCTATACAAAAGGTAAAATATGAAATCAAGCAATCAGGCACATCGTTGAGGTCTAAGTCTCTAATACCAGCATGCCAATTATCTTTCTTATAACAAAGCATTGATCCAGGAATCACTCTCAAAATGATTGAACTCATCAGAAACAATGTTGATTTCCTGATCATTAGCAAGAAACTGACTTTCCATAGCACAAACTGAACCAACGAGCAAATCTTCAGGGCTATCTGAATCGAGGTTGAAGTCGTAAATCTGATCAGAAAATAGGTTTTCATGCAAAGTAATGTAAAAGCTTCCATCGTCTTCTCTTTGACACTTGCTGATGCCTCCCACAAGAAAACCTTCCACCGTAGGGTTGACGCCATTAATTTGATCAGGCAAACCATCAATTTGAGCACCACATTGACCCTTACTGTTCGTAACTTCAGTACTGGCATGATCACTATCAGTATTGCCCTTGACCAACGGCAATGACAAAGGTTCCAGGGTCTTGGACAGTTTAAAATCTTCAGCTAAGCTCTGGACCTTGCTTCTCTTATCTCCTCTCAGATTAAGTTCTTCTTCTGCTTGTTTACGTTTAGCTTTTCGCTCTCCACTCACCTGAGATTCTACAAAAGAACACTTATTCGTACCATCAGCAGTTGAAGCGATTGCCATGGCTGAGCTATGTCTGATTTTGATGGCACCTTCCATGACTGATCTATTCCGGATCTTGTTGCTTATGCCCTCGCTCCGATTAAGCTCCTCTTCTGCCTGTTGTCGTCTAGCTCGTCGTTCTTCACTCACTGGAAAAAACTTCTTTATACCATCAGCAGTTGAAGGCATTGTCATGGCTGAGCTATGTCGGATTTTGATGGCACCTTCCATGACTGAGCTATTCCGAATCTTGATCTCTATATTCCTCTTTCCGATTAAGCTCCTCTTCTGCCTGTTTTCGTCGAGCTCTTCGTTCTTCACTCGCTGGAAAAACCTTCTTGATACCATCAGCAGTTGAAGGGATTGTCATGGCTGAGCTATGTCGGATTTTGATAGCACCTTCCATGACTGACCTATTCCGAATCTTGATGCTCTTACCCTCTTTCCGATTAAGCTCCTCTTCTGCCTGTTTTCCTCTAGCTCTTCGTTCTTCACTCGCTGGAAAAACCTTCTTAACACCATCAGCAGTTGAAGGGATCGTCATGGCTGAGCTATGTCGGATTCTGATGGCACCTTCCATGACTGAGCTATTCCGAATCTTGATGCTCTTACCCTCTTTCCGATTAAGCTCCTCTTCTGCCTGTTTTCGTCTAGCTCTTCGTTCCTCACTCACTGGAAAAAACCTCTTGGTACCATCAACAGCTGATGAAGCGATTGCCATGGCTGAGCCAGGCATGGTTCTCACATTAACAAGCCGCAAACGAGATTGCTTACACATTATTGCCATATCTACTTTCTTGAAATCAATGAGTTCTACTTCTCTTGTAACGCTGACCTAATCTAGACATGCATCAAATTTGCAGGTTAAGCAGGAAAGGAAACGCGTAGAGCAAGATGAATCACTCCCAAACTCTCCCACGAAATAGGAAACTAGCCAGCTTTTTCGGAATTTGAAAGTGCAAGTTGTGGGCTTTAGATCAGCCCAATCTTGAAAACAAAAATGGGCTCAACCCAAAATAAAAGGGCAAGTTATGGGCTTAAACCTTAGATCGTAGCCCGATTAATGGAAATAAAACGAACCGTACCTACGGAAACCGTGGGCAAGAGTAAATCAAATATAGAAACCTTCCAACGGCTAGTTCCTTTCTTTTTTCTTTTTGCATCGATGCGCCAGTCGGACGCTCTAACGGTCGAATTTGATAATTCATATCTCCATATAAACCCCTCTCAACTTGGCCCCCTTTTGAAAACATTTTATGTTTCTTTCCTTTCGGATTTGATCTACATTGCTTTCTCTTTAAAGTTTCGAGCAAGTTTCCACGTCGTCGATTAGAAAAGTTCATTTCCCGGCGACCCATATCTTTTTTTCCGGTGACTAGAAGATCAACTGATTGATTTTTTTCTCCAATGGAAACCCCTTCATCTACAAGGAGAGCCACCAGGTCACAGACTGCCTTGAACAACAGTATCCCTGTTTCCAGTGAGTTGCTTTCACTTTTCCTTTAGTTTTTGATAGGAAATAAGGGATTTATAAAACTGGGTTTTCTTGTTTGAAGAAAGAAAAATTAATCGTTTTTTTTTTTTTTTATGGTTTCTTGTAGAAGGAAAGAATGAAGAGTCTGAGAAGAGTGTGTCGAAAACAAGAACAAGAAATGGAAAGCAGCAACAAGAAAGGTCTGCTCTTATTGATATAACAAATGATTCACCCATCGTTGGGCTTGCGATGGAGACACCATCGTCGGCTATAGCTAAGCAGAGGACTAGTAGAGTCAAGAACATTATGATGACTCCTGGTTCTGGTGAGGCTTTGCTCAGGGGTCAAGTCAAGACTCTCTTGCAGAAGGTCGAGGAAGAGGCCGTGCTTTCAAAAGTTTCGTTGGAGAGCCGTCCTTTTCTTCATCTTCAAGGCTGTGTGAATTCCCCCATGGGACTTCTTGCCCCTACTCCCGCAAATACACCACAGATCTTGAATCTTTCTGAGGATGGAGGCATTAGCAACAGTGGCTTGGTTCCAATAGTGATGGCTCTTCCTGTTGTTGAAGAACAGTTGAGGATATCTGAGGTTAGTTCTTTTACTGTGAACTTCTAATTTTCACATTGCATAATCTTTTTTTTATACCTTCATGGAACTTAATATGATTGAAATGCTTCGACCATACTTTTATTGAACATGTTCAGGTGGTGAGTGGCATCTTTGAAGGGAAGAAGGAAGACGGGAGTCTTGAATCCCAGAAAAGTCTGATAACTAGGTCTTTGCTGCTGGATTTTTCTGAGAAATCTGAATCCTCGGGAGCATCAGAATGCTCATCTGTGGTGACTGATCAAGGACTGATAACAGGAGAGAGTAGTGCAAGCAAGGAGAAGCCATCTCCTGATGATGACAACTCCTCTATGTGGTCTATCCAGGGGAATGCAAGCACCCATGATGAAGATGAGGAAACAATTGAAGAAATGGGAGATGACTACCATGAAGAAGAAGAAGAGGAAGATGGAGGATTGATTGATGAGCTCTGTGAAGGTCTAAGCAAGGTAAGCATGGAAGAAATGTTCACAGGAAAGCACACAAGATTTGTGTACAACAGTGATGATGAAATTGAAGGGGAAGAAGAAGAAGAGTATGTAGAGAATGAGGATGCAGCTGGTATTCTGCGCTTTCTTCCGGAAGAGCATGATGACTGATAAATAAATTTTTTGGTTTTCATCGGTGTGGGGTGGGATATGATTCGGCTGGGCTTCATTTTGTCATTTTCTAGTGACGGTCTCATCTCTAAAACAGATGAAAATATGGTCTCTGTTGTTTTTTTTTGCTTTTTTTTTTGTTGGGGAAATGAATTTCATTGGAAAAACAGAAGCCTGTGTAGGATCACAAATGAAGTGATTGAATAAATCTGATTCTTCTATATTATTCAAAGATCCTTCCTTTCTTTACCTCTCAAGTCTTCATTTTTCTTCTATTCAGTCCTAAGGCTATTTTATATGCAGAAAAATAAGTTTTGAAACATTTCTAAAGTGACGAAACCGTTACTCGAATTGATCAACAAATCATTGAGGCTTTCAGATTTGCTGCCAAAATGAAATCTGAAAACAATTTCTAGATTTCTAAAATGAAAAAGGACATGAATATATATATGTATATATATACATAATTTACAACATTTGTATATATATATATCAAAACCATGGATGCCATGTAGGATCCATCATGCACAAATTCCTAGGCAGCAATGCAGCATCAACTAACTCAGTAACACCCCTCTGTACTGACTGAGGTGGCTCCATTGCATTCTCCTCCTGAAACAAATAATCAGGCGGGCTTATTTCAGATGAGCAAGAAACATGCAAATGACAAACATATTACGAAGAAGAAATTTTTTCCATGAAGAACATGAGTACAACTTTTACCTCTTCAGAGAAACACTGTGGAGCTATTCCGCTGATCCGGCTGATAACAGTCTCCACATTGGTAGTAACCTTATGTTTGAAGTCAACAGGGTTCAAACTACCCCCTCCAGCAGCAGGAGCAAGAGGCATCATCCCAAGTGGCCTTCTCCAAGACCATGAAAGCAGTTCATCGCGGAAAAACATGGCTAACTGATACCACAAATGCTGACTTTGCTGCAATGCATGATAGTGGAGAAAAGATGAATCAACATTGTTGTCATTAAGATGGTTTTGCTGGTTAGTTTCCACACAAATGCTCAGAAAAACTTACTTTGGGTGAGACTACAGCCTGTGCTGCGGCACACATTGCAGATACAATAAGGCCCTCCACACCAAAATGGGAGAAGAATGCTTGCATGTTCCTCGTCAGACGGAAAGGCACTGGTTCACTAAATTCAATCATTCCGTTCGCATCATATGCAGGATGAAAATCTGTCTGGAATATTTTCCCCGTGTTTTTTGCAAACAAGATCTTATTTGGAGACCTCCCTCCAATTTGCAGCATGAAAGACATGAAACTAGACAGGGCCAACTGGATAGCAAATTGCTTTTTGAAAGCCCACATATGATTGACACTTGGCAAGGTCTTGTACATGTACTGGGAAAAGATACCATCTGTTACAAGATTTTTTGTTATATCATTATATGCTTGGAGGCGGAGATCTACTACAGCTTCAGGTGAAATTTGTCCAGATATGGCCTGGTTCAATTGCTCCTTGAAATAGGTAATGGGAAGATCTGCCTCTCGATCATTCCTTGCACAATGGTTTTCATAGACCTCGAGGAATGTGCTATACATCAAATCATCTTCAACCATGCGCACCTGTTAAAAGAATTGGTTATTCTTATATCTTGGGAGGGAATAGAAACTAATAGCGTGGTGGGACCAACCGTTAAGCAGGTTCAGTCAGCATGGATACAAAGCTATGTAATATTTCTTACATGATATCTACAGAAAACTTTTCATGCCTACAACAGAACTATAAAAGAAAATCAAGAATTGGAGAAATTATCAGGCAAGGCTAAATCACCTGCGACCAAACAGGGATTATAATGGGCGTGTGAATGCATATATGACGACGTCTGGATTCCTTGTGCTTATCAAACATTTGGTTCATTACACGGAAGAGCTGCAATATCCGCTCATCACTTCTAGCATTAGGAGTCAAAGATGTCTGGACAATAAAATGTCGTTGAGAACCATCAGAGCCAATCAGAGTCAAACGGCGAAAACTGCTTCCATGCCTTCGAACTATTGGTATATCAGCTCCAACCCGGTCCAACTTCACTGTGTGGTCAGGGGCAATTTCCTGGGGGTTCAAGAGATGTTTAGTTTAATTAGATCAAGAACAAACAGATTGAAAATTGCAAGTCAAACTAGGTGGTTGTGCTGCATTCTTTTGAAAAATTCAAGGAAGTTTCAAAATATAAATGCAGTCTGGAAGACTAGAATGGCAATCTCCAGCCCTTTTGTTGTGTTATACAACAAAAAGAGAACAGTAATGAATAAAAGTGCTGATTTTTTTACCTGATCACTGAAATACTGCCCTGGAATCTCTACATCAACCACATGAAAGTCACGTAACACCCTGCTTTCATCCTCCAGCTTCAGAACAGCAGGAAACCTGTCCTCAACGTTGCTCTGGAGTATATTTTTCCAGTGTTTTAGTTGTTCAGTCAGTTCAGAAAGAGTGGCAGGAAAAGTAGCTGTACTTTCTGGATCTAGATCACGCTCAAAATCCTGCTTGTACTCCCTAACAAAATCTACATGCTTATTAACAGCATCTGCAGAGAAGCAAGCCCTGCAAACACCAGAGAGCTCCTTCTTGAGAGATTGGGGAACTTCTGCTGTAGTAGCAGTTGGGTACTTGTAACAGCGGTGCAGCAGTGCATTAACCACTGCCAGAAGCCTCTCCTCAGGCAGAGTAACAAACCTTGAACCAATTTCTGTTAAAAGAACCTGCAAAAGGGTAAAGCCCTAATTATAACATCCAATTGGCATCTACTGAATGGTGCAGGAAATACAGCAAACAAGACAGTTATTACCTCATGGCTTATCTATATAAACATTAATGGACAATCATTTTGAAAAATGCATGTCAAGAATAGTCATGAAACAGAATGTTACTTCCCTTCGATCAAAGTGTGCTCTCCCTCTGTACTAATGAGATGTGTAACAATAAATTGAATTCAGTTATCTATAAAGCATTTAAGATTTGTGGAAAATATGACATGCATCATCAAAGTGAAAAAGAAAAGTGTAGAACAGAATTTCTCACCTCAAGTTCACCAGCCAAATTAGCATGCTTGCTTCTTAGGGCCTCCATAATATCCTTAGCAGCATCAAAAGCAGTGGCAGCAGAAGCAACCAAACCCATCGTACCATTACGCCTCATTGCACCCTGCCCACCATCACTGATACTTGAAGAACTTTGTTGCAGAGGTTGGTCATTTCCTGTGTGCACACTGCTCTCTGTTACAGTGGACCGCTCAGGTTCTTGCCCATGAGAGTTCCCTCCATCATGAGATCCAATTCCAGTACCAGATTGACTTCCTTGATGAACTTGATTGTCTGGTGCTAGATTGCCTCCAGTATGACTCTGTACTCTAGCATTTCCATCAGCCAAGCCAAGAGAACCAGAATTGGTACCAGAGATATTCTGTTGCAACCTTTGCTGAGCCATGGCTATTCTGCCAAGTTCCGACTTATTTGCAACATCTCGACGCTCAAGCAAATATGTTCTGAGCCAGTAATACAGTGCCTGGAAGTTCAAATGGAAAGAAGTCAGAAAAAAAATTGCAAGAATGAAATGAGTAACATACAAATAATGTGTTTATTATGTGGGTAAGAAAGAAAAACATTCACCTGAGGATAAACAGTAGCAATTTTAAGAAGCACAAGTTTGCAATGAGGTGCTTCTGTCCTTTGCAAGGAAAGTAATAACTGTGGAATCCAGGAAAGCCAGACCCAGTGGGGAATTTGGTCTAAATACTTATCAAATGACCTTCCCACAGGTTCACTGGGAGTATCAAAGCTGAGAAGATACAGAACACGAGCTAGATGGCTTCTCGAATTAGAAACTCCAAATTTAATGCCTTGAAGAAAGCAGCTAACAGCATATTCTAACCAAATCTCATCATGACTATCTTTATAAGCCTGTAATGTCAAAAAAAAGATCAGTGCCATCTCTAGTTAAACATCGAAATTTATAGCAGGAAAAAGCAGATAAATAATACCATGTCACAATAATTTCCCCAGCTTATCCACCCTTTAGGCAAATTTTTGAAAAGGGTGATGGCATTGGAGTATGCAAGATTAGCCCCTTCAGAGTCATTTAACTTTACTAGGAAGTCCCCTTTAAGACGAAAAATTTCTGCCTTGTGTTTCACAGGAAAATATTCCAGATTAGTGCTGCTGATCAAATTAAGGCCACTAGTTAGTTCTCCCTTCATTTCAAGATATGCCTTTGCCTGCTCTGTAATCTTAACAAAGGCCTCCTGCATATACTCAAGAGATAAAAAAAAAGTAAGAAGCTTTCAACTACCACCCATTCCTTCATCTTTGCCATATGGAAAAAAGTCATTTCAGTTAAAGAAAACCAAAGAAAATCAATTAGGTTAAAGTGTTACGGTGCTTGGCAGTTGACACAGTATCAAGCAAGTATCAGATACTTCAAGCTCATTCAGGATACTAAAACTAATCAAAAACATAAAAATAGGATTAGAAATCATATTAGGAAAGCTTTGAAAAAAGTATGAAGCTTTTAATACATAAGCCGCTAAAGAAAAGAAGACTAACTTTCAGATACTTAGTACCTAAATAAAACAAAGAAAAGATGTCAAGTCAATTAAGGTGAAAGCATGTTAATATATTATCATGATATTTAGTACCTGCACTTCCATAGTTGAATGGCCATACATCTTTTCAAGTATCGCCACACATACATCATAAAGGCCTTGCTTACGAGCAATGCGAGCAAGCTTATTAACATTCCAAGCCTTATCACGGTAACCAAGATGATGAAGTTGTGGATTTGTGGTGCTGAACTCTTTAAATGCATCTATAACACCATTATACATTTCATTCCTCCATTGGAGCAAATCACACCAGACGGACATATTATCCCATTCATTTGGAGTTCTCAGTCTCCAAGTCTCAAGGATGTCCTTGAGATCAGCGTAGAGATTTCCATGCACACCAACCACAGAATTGCCAGAAACTTTGTTCCCATTGGCAATGTCCACAAGAATTCTGGCAGATTCTTGAACTTCAACCAATTGCTGAAACTGCTGCAGAAGAGGAACCCTGGCATGCACAGACATTTCAGGCAATTGCCACCAATGTTCTAAAGCAAGATCAACACCCTTCCCAACTATGTTTTCTGCATCCCCTACACCATTTGTATTTCTATCATGGAGGGCAAAAAAGGCTTGAATGAGACGGAGTTTTGGAGTTTCTTCTAC